AAACTAAAGTCCTGCAATTTTTTTTTTGCCATTTGTAAATTCTCAAAAGGACCTTTCGGCGAAGCCGAGGTCAAAAGGAATGAGAATACGTTGACGTAATTTTCGTAAGGTATATTAGATTAGCAGCGTCAAGTAGAATATATACAGGGTGCTAAATTTCAAACGTAACAGGTAAAAAATCTCGAAAACTATGAAAGATATGGAAAAAAGCTAAAACACGTGTTCCAACGTGTGCCCTAACTTTTGTTAATTTAATAATTTTGAAATTCCCAAAGGTCGATAAGTCAACAAAAGTTAGGGCACTATTATAGTAATATACTCTTGATAGTAAATAAAGTAGAAAAGTCTAATACTATTTTTTCTTTCGACGAATAGTTAGCGAGATATCGTGAGTCAAATGTTGACAAAGTTACCAAGTTTTTCTTAAATATTTCAAAAATTATCAGCCAAATAGAAAAACGTTTCGGACAAAAGTTGTTCAAATTAATTGATACAGAAAGAAGATGTGATAATAAAATTGGGCTTTCTATTTAAAAAAGTTAAGTTGACCTTCAACTGACCTTGAAAATACCCTCCAAATAAAAAACTGATAATGCCATTCTCTTTCCTCTTCGAAATCATGGAACACGTGTTTTAGCTTCTTTTAATATCTTTCATAGTTTTCGAGATTTTTTACCTGTTATGTTTGAAATTTAGCATCCTGTATATATTGAGTTGGCAACTAAGTGATCGCGGATTTTAAATAAGAATGAAAATTCAAAATTTTAAATTTGCTTTTTTAAATTTTTTTCAATGCATGTATGCGATACATTGAGCTTCTCTGCAATATCACGTGTTGTGCTATGACGATCTGAATCGATAATGGCCTTGATATGGGTCTCATCGACTTCAACTGGACGGCCAGATCGTTGAGCATTTTTCAATGAAAAATCACCAGAACGAAATCCGGCAAACCAATTGTGACACTGCCTTTCTTTCAAGGCTTCACTCCCATATACGGCACATAACTTCTCGTGTGCTTGCGATGCGTTCTTGCCTTTTCGGAAATAATACAATAAAATATGTCTGAAGTGCACGTCTTGCTCTTCCATTTTTTGATTGGGATAAAAACAAAACTAAACAACTAATCGATATAATTTTCGTACTAAATGAAAGGTAGAAGTAATACCAAACAATAAGAAAAAAATATAGATTAGGTACTTTGAACACGTTAACGAAACAAAAGAAAGTGTAAAATCCATCTGTCGACAAAATCCGCAATCACTTAGTTGCCAACCCAATACGTCGAGAACAGGATCCGGAATCTCGACACGCGCCGCGTCCTGTTCATCCGCGACGGAAGTTTCCAGGTCGAAGTCTCGCCGTTTGGTTTTGACTCGCGCGGGTAGTCACCGGCGCGGACGCGGGCGCAATCTCCCGGCAAATGAGACGGATTTTACGCGGTGCTTGTACGTTTAAAAAAACGGAACGCACGGCGGGCGCATTCGCATATCCGGTAACGAGCGGCAAATGTATCCCGTCGGCATTAATGTCATGTACACTATTCCGCATGCGGAGGCCGAATCGCGCGTGTTGCGCGCACAATCCGGATTCGGGCAAACAATCGGACGAAAACTCGGTTAACCATTTTCAGGATCAAGCGAACAAACACACGAGCGAGCAAACAAACGAGGCCGAGCTTAATTCCATTTATACACAGCACGGTTAAACGTCGGCGATATCTCTTTTTTTTTTCCTCTTTTTCCGTTTCCACGAGCGTCGAAACGTCAAAACGAAACCTCAGCGACAATGATCGGCACTGGTCAAAAATAACCCGTCGCTGGGCATTCGTGTCGTCAGGATGTCGGTTGCGTGCGCGAATCATTTTTCCTGGAGACAATTGAGAATGTTTCTCCTCTTAAAACGAGATTCGCGCACGCTACCGTATCCTTGCGCGGCTCTCAATGGCCTGAATGAATTCTCCAGTGATTGAAAATGTCTGACAGCCTTGACGCGAAATATTCTTGAGAACCATCGCCACTGATCCTTCCTTCGGCCTCGGTATTCCACTTGACGCTAAGTTAATACCCTGAAGCGTGTATCAATCTAGGTTGACAGCTTTCAGGATCTACGAGTGACAAATGGCGCGTCATCTGTCTTATAGAGGCGTCGAGTAGGACTTCAATCTTGACATCATTCGCGTTTATTAAACCACCTAGAATCCTGCAGACGTCGTTGACGACGTGACTGACAGCGCTGGCCGAGAAAATTTCGGATCGGCCGATAATCCAGCGGATCGCGCTCGCGCGGATATCGGGAGGGAGGAGAAATCAAACAAGTTCTCTCGCTCGGTGGACGTGGAGCGCGGTGGAAAACGCGGTTAAACAGCTCGTAGAAAACGCATTGCGCGAGTTAGTGTTGAATCAGAGTGGCTGGGGAGCGGCCAGGGCAGGAGGAGGAGGAGGAGGGCGGCGAGGGGGGAGCGGTGGTGGATTATCGTGAAATGCAGTCTCGATCTATCGGACGGTGGTTCGTCAGGCGGTCGAGTCTTCGACCGGGCCGCCGTTTTCCTCCCTCGGCTGGGATACATACTTCCTTTTTACTCCCGTCGGAACGCGCTTCTACGGCCGTACAATATAAACCCGCCGACTTGGCGGACTGCCATTCAATTCGCGGAAAATCGGCGTGAAAGCATGTACATTTCCGCGAGAGCGGGAGAGAGCCGCCGCGCCGCTCTCTCGCGCGTGTACGAGTATACAGTTCGCCCAAAAAAGAACAAAAACAAATTCAAATCGGCATCCCGGCGTGCTCGGCGCGCCGAGGCGGCAGAAGCACCTGGCGAACTATCACAGACTGATTAACGGCTGATATCTCGCTGTAAAGGGGGAGAGAAAAGGGGAGAGAGAGAGAGAGAGAGAGAGAGAGAGAGATCCGGGGCTCTATTCTGGGCGCACAGCGAATGTCACGCGTGCCGTCTCTTCCAAGTTTCATTCTTCTCACGCGAGAGTCGCGTATAACATTGAGTTGAGAATCACAAGGATATACGCAACTCAAAAGAATGATGGCACGGATAATTTATTGCCGAAAATTGGCCAACTTTGACTGGCGATTACTTCGCGAAAAATTATTGTAGACTAATGATTTTTTTTTTTTTTTTCAAAATGAAGCTTGAAGTCAGAAATCATACGGAGTCGTGGAGAGAATACGGAGAGAGTTTGTTTGCCGGTGCTAGGAATGTTGGCTGTGGTCAAAACACGAGCAAGGAGCTGAAAAACATGCGCGCGTGCTTGCGTGCGTATGTCAACAAACACTTTTGCCGTTGCTCCACTATGATTTCCAGTCATTTAATCCGCCGGCCGATATTTGACCCGAAGGTCAAAAACAATGATATTTTTGAAGGGCTGTAACTTTGCGAAAAAAAAATCGTAGCGAGTCCATTTTTTTTTTTTTTTTTTTTTCAAATTGAAGGGGAAAATTGGAACTTTACGATGATGCAAGCGGCGTCCTCGAAAAAAATTCCACGTCCGCGCATTCCGTCAAACTTTGCAATTTTCAGTATACCAAACATGCCCTCAGATGTCAGAATTTACAGGAGTAGGGATGCATCGCATGCGAAAAATGGCGATACATTCTTAAAGTAAAGACTTCAAGCTTCATTTTGGAAAAGAAATCACTAGTTTACAATCATTTTTCGCGAAGTAATCGCCTGTCAAAGCTGGCCAATTTTCGACAATAAATTATCTAAGCCATAAAGCTCTTTCGAGCAGTGTATTTAGCGCTCGAGATGCGAATCAAGCCGCACTCTGGGTTCATATCGAGCGCCAAGTATGTCCTGATTTTCAGATGGAACCGACCGATTATATGTGACGTTCAAGCGAGGGAGAAAAACAAAGCGACGGAACTTGGAATCAACCGGTCACGTGAAGCATGCGATTCGTGCAATTTCAAAATACGACCATCGTCAGCCGCTGCTAAACGCGCGTGTGCGCCATTGCGCTCTCGTGCGAGATTCGAATAATTTCTGACGCTGTCGGGAATTTCACAATCGCGTGTCCTCGGTGACACGCCAACGAGTGAACGCTTGAAACGATAAACATCGCGAGAGGCAGAGAGAGAGAGAGAGAGAGAGAGAGAGAGAGAGAGACAGAGAGACAGAGAGAGTGAGTGAGCGAATAGGCGAGTGAGTAATATATTTATTATTGTCGTAGGTCGTGTCCTTTCTCAGGACATATAATAATTAGCAAAATTATCCCCATTATTCCGATTGTACAAAGCGCAGCATGAATATCGCGATTATTAAGGCTTCGCTTCGTTTGGCTTGTCAGCACACAGTTGAGATAATTAATTAAAGAAGGTTAACGTCGCGATGAAAGCTGCGATTAATAACAAAAGAATTAATCATGAAAGGCTAAGATCGCAATTAAGACGCAGACCAACGTTGAGAAAAAGGAGGATCGTGCGCGGGAGGGAAGGAGGGAGGGAGGGAGGGAGGGAGGAGAAAAAGATAAGTAAAGGCAAAAATAATCAGAGAGAAGAGGTTCTAAGGGAGGAAGGGAAGTAAATAACGAGGACGAGAAAACAAATACAGGAGAGGAGGACATAAATAAACAAGGGGAGAGGGAAATAAATGAGAAGCAAAAAATGAAGTAACCAAAGTGCGTCGCGATGTCTCGAACTCGACGATGTCAAGACGGCTCGTCGGAGCGATCGATTTCCAGCGTTTCGCTTTTTCGCGTAGCCGCCCTTAATGGAGCTCGAGATATTACCCCCCCCCCCCCCGGCTGCTGCTGCGATGCTTTATCGCACGGCACAAAGTTGCTCGGCTGTTATCAGGTCGGAGGGTAATGCAATTTCTCGCTGGACGCCAAAACTGTTCGGGAAGAGTCGTAACGGAACTGTCGCGTTTAAGGATAAAGTCGAGGTTCGACGGATTAAATCGCCCTCCGCCCCTTCCCCGCCTGCGCTCGCCCTCCCTCGTTCTGTCGGGAAAACTCTCACCGTCGTAAAACGTATGCCGGCAGGACACCAATCCGAGGACGACGGTTACATGAGCATGAATGGTCGGAAGGCGAAGATGGCACTGGTAGCATTACGTCCGGTCCCGGACTGTCCGGAGCCGCAGGATCCCGCGGGCGTCTCCACGCAGGAGTTCCCGCCGCCCCCGGAAGAGGCCGAGCGCATTATCTCGACTCTTCTGCCAATGTAAGTACTCTTCGTCCCCGTCGAACCCGAGTTCCTGAAATTTTCATCTTACTGCCGACTTCAATATTCCATTCCGCGTTAATTTAACGCTCCACAATCAACCTCTCCCTCCCGACTTCATTTAACCTGCAGATTTGCCGGTAGGCAAATCTCTCGAAAACCTGCGAGCGGCAAATTGAGCGTTTCCTGGCCGCATTTAGAGGCGCCGAGGAAGGACTCGAGTTTCCTACATAAACCAAATCTCCGGTGGTCTTCCAGCAGCCGCAGATGTCAGACAGTCGAAGTCGCCGCGTAATTTTACGGTATCATCAAATCCACGAACACCTGTCGACCTGTCGCGTTTTATAAATAGCTCCGACGAGCAGAGTCGCGATAATGTCGCTCCTTATCGCGAGCGACGCTCGAGTCGGGGAGTATCGATCGGGTTATCGGGATGAATCGCGCAAGTTGAACAAACTCGTGTGTTGAAACTTTTTACCGGGTTAAAAGAATTCACGGGGAAAAATTATCTCTTCGAGAAACGGCCGTCGTCTTCGCCGCTTCTCCACGCCGGCATCGCTCGGGGTGAGTATGGACGGCTTGCCGCTCTCGCGGATCGCGGTTCGTCCGATAAAAGTCGCGCCTGGAGGGACGCGTCTCCCCGCTGGAGACGCCGCCGGGAAACCGGCATCAGTTTCGCCGTTTATCGGCTGGAACAAAATCAGTCAAAAGTCGAGTGTCGATCGACCCGGCTCGCCGGCGCCGCCCTCACCGCCCTCGCCGTCGCGTGTCTTCATACACTCCGCCCGTATACATCGTCTGTCAATAGACACACGCGACGACCTTCCCATTGAATTTCATTTGTCTCCCGACATACGAGCACTCCCGTCGTCGTCGTCGTCGTCGGAGATTCATCCGATAGCAAAAGTTTAATATTGACAGACAACTCGACTCTGCTCGCGTTATATAAATGTCCGAGCGGCGGGGATTTTCATCCTACTTTCGACCCCAATGTTCCACTTAACGTTAATTTTCTACCCTGGAATCTAATCAAGCCTCCTTCGATCGTCAACCCACAGATTTTCCAGGAGGCCATCTTGAGGGACCTCCAAGTGGCAAGTCGTGTGTTTCCTGCCACTTAGAGGCCACTTAGAGGAGCAGCGATTTCAATCTCTATATAAATTTTCAAGTCGACATTTTCGTCCTACTTTCAACCTCGATATTCTACTCAACACTAATTTAACCCTCCGAGGGCCAGAATTCGGCCGGTATTCCCCGAGGAAGACGGCGACGGCTGCGTTGTCGTCGACGGCGAATTTGTCGACTCGACTTTCGAGGGCAACTCGGCTCTCTGAAAAAGCGCGAGGCGGCAGTAGCTTTCGAATTGTAAGTCACAACGATAAGGAAGCCTCTTGGGCGTTCTCTTGGGATTGCCGAGCCGTAATAAAGTGCAGCAGGATTTCGCAGTTCGCTGAGACTCGAGTGGACTTTACCTCGCAGGGAATCTTCATTCGCGAATGCGTTCAGCCGCGAAAGACGTTTAAACGCGGAATATTGAAAACTGTCGAAAGAGAATGTCGTATCGCGCGCGCGCGGCCGCGCCGGTTCGAGTCTTCGCAAGTGCGACGCCGAGATCGATAAATCGCATTTTGCAAATTCGCGCGTCGGCCGTCACCCTCCACCCCTCTTCCGCCATTTGCGCAACGCTCTTCACTCACGACAAGCGCGCACAGCGACTATAAATAATTTCGTCCACGTACCGGATGTCGATAACTCGCGCTCTCAAAGGTCCCGGGGCAACTTGGGAGGGGGGAGGGACAAAACGGAGAAGAGAGTCGACGCGTCCCCTAAAATTTCTCGTTGTCGCCCTGCCCTCCATTGCCGTACCTGCGGATCCTCGGCTCCGCGCCACGAGCGCGTCCTTTCGCTTCCGTAATGAGAAGCCAGCCACCCCGTCTCCCCCCCCTCACCTCTTGTCGCGCCCCCTGTCGGTCTCTTTCGCACGCGCGCGACTTCCCGAACTTTTTCATATCTTTAGTTTTAGTTCCGGGCATAACTTGCTTTCATCAGGATCGCCGTTCCGCCGGTTGTCGTACCTCGCCAACTCCATCCGGCGTTACTTCAAACAAGCGAAAACCCTCCCTCGCTCTCTCGCATCGTGCCCCTCCTCCTTCCCCTCCTTCTCCTCCAGCGTCTCCTCTCCCGCGGAAAGTCGAAAGTTATAAACTCCCTCTTCTCCCTTCGCCATTCGTACTACTTTCTCGTACACCGCTCCGATTGCATTCTCCGGCGAGACGAAGCGCGACGCGCGACTGCGACGACGACGACGAGGATGAGGACGACGCCGTCGCGGTTTCTCCTTTGCAGGATCGCTCCCGCGGAAAACTCCCGCGGAGGCCGTTTTCATCAACAGGCCGGGCGTTAAAGGGCCATTAACCTGACGCGTTCGTCTGTTTGCACGGTTCGCCTGAGAGCACGACCTCTGCGAGAGAGAGAGAGAGAGAGAGAGAGAGAGAGAGAGAGAGAGAGAAGGAGAGAGAGAGAGAGAGAGAGAGTTCTCCGCTCGCCTCGCTGCAAACTACCTCGCAGCCGGTCTCTCGCAGCCGATTTCCATCGGGCGGGCGCATCTGCGTTCGCTGGCGATCACCTCGACGAAATTGCTCGTTAAGATAGACTCGGCCGATACCACCTCGACGATATACACCTTCGTTCTGTGCAATCCTCCATCGCGTCGCGTCGCGCTAACGCTCAGCGTTATCCCCGCTGCATCGTTTTAATAATTCGGCTGTATCTGCAAACGGTGAATGATTGCCCGAGCGAGATAAACGCCGACGATTAATTACAGCATCGCGCGATTAGTTTTTTGTGACTTTCGTAAGACCTCGCAGGATGAACTGTGGCGCTCGCAATTTTCTGATATTTTAGCCGCGAGGGAAGCGCACGACGTTTTCCGCGACGAGCCTCGATCGCTGCAGTCAACGGGTCTCGGGACTTGCCGCTGCGCATTGTCCACTCGATAATTTGTATAAATGTATGAAGTAGAAGTCGTCGTTGAGCGGAGATGAATCCCGCGAGATTTACTCTCGCGCTTAATTTCTTGTAATTTTAATATTTTATAACTTTGGTGCTCCGGAACTTTAACCGTATATTTAACGCTTGTAATTTTAATATTTCATCTACGCGCGATATTTCTCCGCCGTGATCCTCGATCGTGGCAGTTTAATACTCGGAAGCTCGCCGTCGCGTTTTCGATTTAACAATGCCGGTGGACCTATGGACGATAAATTAATACGCAACCAAGATAAACCCCGGAAATTAATTACAGCATCTCTCGCGAGCTTACCTGCTCGCAACTTCTGTACTTTGCAACTACGTGTATTTTTGATGCCTTACCCTACGCCGAAAGCGGCGCCGTGTGAACGGACGAATCATTGCTCGAGCGAAATAAATCCTCGGGGTTAATTACGACACCTCGCGTTTTATTCCTCGCAACTTTACTTCACTGTATTTGTAGCTTTCGTAGCTTTGAAGCTTCAATACTCGCAATTCACGTCCGCGAGACAAGCTGAATTCCGAAAACGCCATTTTGCGCACTTTCATTATTTCACATCGCGATTTCTGGCAGCGTTGTAGAAAAATTTTATTTTGTTCTTTTCTTTTTTTATATTCGATGCTCGCTTTTACCTATTTTTATCTGAAATCATATTGAACAGAGAAAGCTGTGAGGAGGTTAACCCTTGTTGTGCACACTTCTGTAGAATCGCATAATGGTCATACTGGGGTCCCTCGCGACCCCGCTACAGAAATGCGTACTGCAGTGAAACTATTATTTTTTTGAACTGGAAAAAAGGATATATTTCAAATATATTTTTAAACGATAGCACAGTTTCTATGAATAAAATTTGATCTCAAAAGGAAACAAAATTTATAAAGCAAAAAACACGAGAAATGACTTTTTCTCACTTAAAATATTGTAGCAAACGTAATTTTTGATATTTTTTGCAAAAATTTTGAGGAAATACTCTCAATATACGTCACTTTAAGAAAAAAATTAATACAATAGTAGGACTTTCAAAAAAGTTTCTCCAGACAGGAGAGTGTCAACTTCACTTCACAGTCAGAATCGTACTGACGCTCAGATAATGCACTGATAGAAAAGTATAGTTGAATTGACTATAATCTCACTATATTTTATAGTTCATTTTGACGTCAACCATATTTTTATAGTTTGTGGAAACCTGCAAGATATAGTAGAATAAACACTAATATATAGTCAATGATTGTCTGAAATAATTGTTTAGTTACTTTTACCACAAATATGGTAATTTCTCATTCACAAATATAGTGAGATTTAATATTCATATAGTTACATCTGTCATCATTTAGCAAATATTCTGGCTAATATTGACTATATAAAAGAGTCACTTTTACCTACCATTTTATATTTGCATCCATACAATAATTTTAGCTTAACTTACTATAATTCTTAGTAAAAATATTATATCCTTGGTTATACTATATCTATATCGTAATTATTACCGACGTTATGGTAATACTTACTATAAATATGATATTTCGGACTATAATTTAGTTACTATATCATTATAGTTAAATATCATATACTTTTCTCTCAGTGTGGCGAATCGTGCTCGGGCTAAAGGAGGAGACACAGAACTAACAGTAGATAGCAGTACAAGTCGTATTTCCGAAGACTAACATACCATAAATCATCATCGAAAATCTTTAGGTGGGGGCGAAAATCGTTTCGACCCCACCGTGCACAACAAGGATTAATTAAGAAATCGCATGCGGTCGAATTGACGTGTTCATCACGCGGGAGGTCCTCGCGCGGACTTGCCGCTGTCTGCGGAGTATCTCGAGTTCCTGCGACTCGTTGGCGAGCTCGAAGCCGCAGTAGTCCTTGTTAGACGGCGGCTCCTCAAGCCGTCCTCGTTGCGCCTGTCGATCCTAATCACCGCGTTTCATGCCTATTACCAGTCGTTCTATCGCGCCTGCAGAGTCCCCGTGAAGAGCGTTCGAGCCGCCGACGTCCTCGAAGTGCAGACTGCGCCTTCTATTCGGGGCGGCTCTTCTCTCCGTGGGGCGGTCGTCATTCTGGCAAAACGTCGTCGCTCCTGTCGTCGTCGTCGTCGTTGTCGTCCCTGTCCTCGTTCTCTCTCTCTCTCTCTCTCTCTCTCTCTCTCGTCAACGCAACGAGAGAATCAGCGCGACGCCTCTTTTGCATGCCGCTTGGCGCGGTAAACCCGCTCGAAAGAGCTGGTTCTCCTTTTCTTCGCGCGACCGAGAGCGTTCGATGTCTCCCGCTTCCCCCCTTCCGCGGGAGTCATCCCCGTTATCTCGCGGCCGCGTGTCGTTGTATCAGCGGCTCGTTCGTTTAAAGTTCACCCGGGAGCGGCGAAACGCTCGTCGTGGACGTCGTCGCTCGCGATTGGCTGTCTCTGTGCTAAATAAGCCGGGGGGGTCGCATTTCCACGCGGAGTACCATCTTCCTCGGCACCTCGACGACGACGGCGACGGCGGCGGCGTCGGCGGCGGCGACGGTGGTGGCAGTGGCGGTGGCGCGACGTTTATCGACTGGAAGCGAGTAAAACGGAAGTCGAGTGTCAATCGATCGGGTTCGCTCTTCAGCGCTCCTCGCTCCTTTCTTCTCGTCGCTTTTACGCTCGACGGTGCGATTGAGACGCTCGCCGGGAGGACTGCAGAAATTGGCGCGCGGGCGCCGCCGCGCCGCCGCCGAATCGCGCCGTAAAAATTGCAGTTTAACCGGGCAAAAGGGACGACATCACGCGCGCGTACGGGAGAACGAGCGGGGGAGGATGTGTGTCGCGGGCTCGAATAAAACGGGATGTAATCGCGAGGTGTTTGCCTCCGAGGCGGCGTGAATCGCGCTGCGTTGAGCGTCCCATTCTTTTTTCCACACGCTTCCGAGTTCACTCACCTTTGACCCGGTGCGCGCGCGGCCCGGTGTTTGGGAAATTAACGAAAGTCCATCAGTGTCGGCACTCCGTCACGGCAGCTCGACGTCAAAGCACGTCGGCCGGCGGACTTTATTCGATTTATTTCCCCCGCGAGGGTGAATGGCCGCCTGCGATTAAGCGGAAGGAGAAAAAAGGGGGAAGCCCTCGCAGTGTTTTACGCAGCCGAGATCCGTCGAGATCCGTCGCGTTCGACGACGGTCGTAGAGGGGAACTTGAAGAATTCGGTCCTCTTGAATCGGCGAAAAGGCGCGGGCGGACCGATCGATCCCGGCCGGCATGGCGACGATGATAAGTTCCCGTCGGATTTATTCCGACGTTCTCTGCCTGAGAGCTCCCCCCTTCGGCCCCGCGACGCTTCTCGTTTCCTCGGCCGCGTGGGTAGCCTGAATTTATGCGTCCCTCCTCTCGGGCGACTCGGTAACTTTGGAAATATGTCGAAAGAAGGTTAATAGGATAAAAAACTTGCGACTCTCCGCCGGAGAAGACGCTCGCGCGACTCGCTGATGACGTATTGTCGCGCGCTTCAGCCACGTAGAATGCCGCGGGCGTCGGTGTCTAGGCGAGCGTGTCGCACCGGCGGCGGGGGGAGGGGGATATCCGAACGCGTGTTTTGCTCCGCGAGAATCGATCGACGAGCTCTCGCGGTTTTAATCCTTCGCCCTTAATCGTTAATCCTTATGAACGGAAGACTCTTTGGTACACATAAGTGGAACGAATTATTTTCACATCTCTTTGGATTATCGAAGTATTTTCAATCATCTCCAGGTGATGTGTGGCGCAAAATACGTTATTGAAAATGTTATCAAGCAAAAGATATTTTGTAACATTTTCCAGCAGACATTAATAATAATACCGTGTTCATTCATTTCTCGTTAAAAGTTACCTTCGCTGTCGCAATTTGGTTTTTTGCTGTGTTTTAACAGTAAAAATAAAAAATTCTTATTCGGTGGGTACTAAAATACTTGGCTAAAAATCTACGTGATTTTATCTAAACGGAATAAAGAATCGTTTTCACGTGAAAAACTACGGAAAAGATATAATTTGTTCATTCAAAAAGAGAAAAATTATTCAATGCGGAAACATATGTGTGTGTGTGTGTATCGATATATGTTTTCAGTACCCGCGGAATAAAATTTTTCTATTTCTCACGTATCCTCCGCTGAGAGCGAAGATTGTTGTCAATGACACTGCAATAGCACTCGCTACAAAAATCTATTTGCTACAGTCATTTTACCGCGTAAAAATGATGGTAACAAATAGCGCGCTCCAGCGCACTTTTATCTCATGTGAAGAACCCTGCGGTTGCGCTTCAAATCCCATTACGGGGTTACGAAAGCCGCGCGCCGTGAATCCAATCAGAAGAAATTCGACACACATATACACACGTGTGTGTGTGTGTGTGTGTGTGTATGCACGTATGTAGCCATCGCTTTTTATCCACGTTTCATTTGTCGACTAGGGTTTCCCCGGGAAACTCGTCCAAGAGGAACATCGTCGTCGGCCAGAACCCGGAGCGGCGGAGCGCCGGCCGGCAGCAGCAGTGGATGGTCGCCGTGGAGGATAGCATGCGGCACGGGAACGCCGTTACCACGCAGACCACCCTCGTGAGTACTCTTCCGCCCTCCCAACCCTCGTCCTTCGTCCTTGATTACTGCCGATAACTCGACTTACTTACGACGACGCGGTCGCGATGTGCGTGCGGCCGATCGTAATCCCGCGACTTTCTCACCGGAGCGCGTCGTAACGATATTTCTTTACGGTTACGGTCGCGAGTCGAGAGTCGAGACTCCTGCGCGCGCGCGCGCGCGCGAATAAGTCGGCCCGATTCGCCAAGCCGACGCGTAGATCGCTCTCGATGGACGAGGAAAATTGATGGAAAGAAGATGGTTCGGCTGATCCGAGGACGAGCGACGCGTGATGTATGGAGTGTCCCGGGTTCTCCTGCTATTTTCCTCGATCCGTGGATTCTTTCTGGGATAGTTTGGAGTCGATGTTGTCGCGGTTAAATTACTGCGGCACGAGCGATCTTACGTCTGGCAGCTATGAGCGATCGGGGCTCGGAGAAACTTGTGTGCTTATCTCGGGGATAACGACTCGTTCTTTCTAAGTAAGGATGTAAATCCGAATTGTCGAAATTTCGACTCAGTCCAGATCAATTTCTCAATGACGATGACAGCAATAATAGTGATTTTTACTCATGGGAAAACTTCTTTGGCACACGAGCACAAGAAGCGCACAAATAAGACAGACGGAAAAGAGAAACGTATTAAAAATCAGTGGATTCTTCGGTGTTTGAGAAATTCTTGGCACCTTGTTGTTGCTTGACTCTTGCTCCAAGGAGCACTCCTCAATGTCTGCTTGACGTTTAAATTCTAATGTCAGATACTCGCCGCTAATAGCTTGCGTTATCGGCTTGCTCGATTACGAAGCTCAGCTTACGGCCGGAATTCGGCTGGCAAAGCTATATCAAATATCAAGCACCCGGAAAATCCGCGGAGCGAGAAAAGAGAGAATTTCGAAATTTTCCTGCGCTAACGATCGACTCCAAGTTACCCCCGGCGCGGCGCGGCGCGGCGCGGCGCCGCGCGGCGCCGCGCAGGGCTGATTCCCCATGTGAGAGCGGCGCCGATGCATCTCCGCAGCCGAAGACCCGGCATCAACGGCCGTACGGCTGGGAAAACGGGACCGTGGAGTCGCTGCGACTGGCCCAACCGCCGAGCCCGCCGAGCAAGTTCGCCAGTCTGCCGTACGACGGCAAGGTGTCCTTCAACTGGATCCCGCCGCGGACGAACCCGAGCGCGGTGGAGAAGCACCGCGAGGTGCGCCGCCGCTCGTCGGAGGAGTGCCTGGAGGACATCGGCCGTCAGCAGCAGAGTCCGGAGCGCGAGCGCGAGCGCGAGCGGGACCGGGAGCGGGAGCGCACGTCGCACCTGAGGAAGCAGCAACGGCAGAACGAGATCATGAAGTCGAGCAGCGTGGAGGACCGGCTGCTGATGAACAGGCCGGACAAGGAGTCGTCGCAGCGACGGCGCAACGACTCGGACTCCAGCGAGGGCAGGTTCTCCAGGAACTCCGAGTCGGAGAGGTCCTCCATACCGCGCTCCAGCTCGGTCAGCGTCGAGCGCTTCTCCATGCGCGCCAACTGCGACTCCTCGGACTTCTCGCGCGCCAACTCCACGTCGAACGAGCGCTTCCACTCGGACTTCTCGATAGCGGTGGCGAGCGCGAGCTCGAACGACCACGTGTCCGTGCCGAGCTCCGACCCGTTCTCCATCCGCAACCTCGACTTCGTCTCGTTCTCCTTGCCGCGCGCCGACTCCAGCGAGCACTTCTCCGCGCCCACGTCCGACCGCTGCTCCGAGGGCCGCTACTCCGACCTCTTCTCCACGAGGAACTCGGACTTCTCCGCGCGCAACTCCGCCGACTTCAGGACGCAGTCCGACGAGGAGCGCTTCTCCGACGACTCGTTGGAGGAGCTGCTGCCGCCTCCGCCGCCCATCAGCAAGAGGCACTCCATCGCGTGGGAGGTGTCCCTCGAGGATGACCCGCTGTATGCGCCCGGTAGCACCAAGGTCGTCGGCAGGAGACGGCGAAAGAGCAGTGACGTCTCAAGTAAGTGCCACGAGAGATTGCCGTTCGCACTGATCAATGTCTGGATTATTTATCTTAATTAATTAGTGTTCGCGCCGCGCAGTTCCAAATGCGCGCCCACTCGTCTGTGTTTAAAAATGAAGCGTTTCTCACCCGCCGTTTGGAGCACGCGTCGTTGGACAGGTCTAAACACGTCAGCTTTTCATTTCTAATAATTAATGTTTAAATGCGTTAAACGACGCTCTGACGTTTCAACGTCGAATCTTAAGTCATTTAAAGTCGTTTAAAGGTGTTAAAACGTTGTCGTGATCGACAACGGCAGGAAGTGTAAAAAAGGAAGATAACACACTTGGGTTTAGAGTGCATGGAAAGATGGATGGAGAAGCTCCGAAATTTCGCACGGTAACGCAACCAGCATCGCAACCAGTCACGCTCTCGTGAATCGCGATACGGAAATTCCCTCTCGGAAAATTCGGGATGATTTCCGTGCGGCTGCAATCTTTCACGGTAGATTTTGCAGTTGCTCGTTTTATCGACGTCGGGAAAATTGACGAGGGAGTTTTCGCTTTTGAATTCTCCGGTCGTTCCTGATCGTTTCGCACATCCAGAAAAATTCGCAATAAAATTTCCACTCCTCAACCTTGATTCGAGGAATTTCGATATTTCCGGTACTCGATTTTGGTATTTTAAATTATTACGGTGTCTTGTATCGACTTGCCGAAGTTTGTCATCCTGTGTGAACTTCCTTCTCGCACGAGAACTGTCGACGCAGCGAGATTCGTAAAGTAACCGATAGAGAATCTCCTTAACTTTTCCGCTACTACGCTCCGCTGTAGCGGCTTCCCGATAAACAACATTTCGTAACGGACGCTGTTACTGAGTGGCTATTTTTTATAACTTCCGTCGAAATCCGACGAGTGGCTTGTCGCTGTTCCCGCGGCGGTTTGTTCATTCATTCGTATGTAAATAAAGATTTCATCAATTTATTAGTCCTCGCCTCGACACGACGCGTGCCGCTCTGTTTCCTGTTGATTGGTAAAAAAGTTTAATTGAAAATTGCGTTGCTAAAAATACGGCGGATGAATGCAATTCCACGCGTGCATGTATCTTTTACCTCGTTTTATTAACGCTCTATCGGCCGCACAACCGATAAATTAGGATCGGTTAATTAATTACACTTTACGCGGAATGTAATGAGACAGGGCAAGTACCACAATGTCGGAGCATTGCGACGACACTCAACGTGTTAACATAGATATTACGATTAATTACACGGAGCGAAGTAGCAGACGCTGCTAACATCTATTACGCACATATTTAATATCACAGTTTCGTTCGTCCAGTAAGCCTACGCTACGAGGGAAAAATATCGAGGGAGAACGAAAACTATTTCTCCGATGGCTGCTAATAATATATTTACTCCTAAATCAGAAATTTCCACTTAAATGAAATAAACAATCGCTTTCGAGGAAAAAGCTACGGTCTGGAAACGCTTTCATTAGATATTTACGAAATATTTATGAAATTTACATTTTCATTGCATTTAAACGAAATTTCTCTTCTCACTGTGAAAATATTTGCGTCATTATGAGCGAATATGTTATCAGTGTCCATCGCAGAATAAATCTTTTTTAATTTTTTAAACATTTCCTCTCAGTTTCTATATTCTCTATAACTTTTAACGACGGTGTCGTTACTGCCGCGCCGTCTCCTTGTACACGGATATAATATATATAAATAAATTTATAATAACGTAAAAATATGGTGGAAAAACTGTGCAACGACAACGCGACTCTAATGACACCGTCGTCGAAAGTTGCGGAATAAACCTACAATGACAATGGCTAGAGATGTGCGTGTACCATTCAAATTCGAATCGATTCAAATCAGTTAAGCTTCGACTCGAATGTAGTCTGAATATTTACCGTTTGAATCCGAGAATTTTCAACTGCGGAAATTTAAATACATACTTAAGAGCCGACATGTAGGAAAGTTCAGGATCGATCCGCAGCTGACACAGTATTTTCGCAATTCTTAAAATTAAACAATTCAGAAATTAAGTATTCAGGAAAATTAAGTAATTAAGAAAAACGAACACGTTCGTTCTTCTCTCATAATTCAAAATTCCCCGCAATAATTCCCCGACGACTGTCTCCTGCAGACAGCGTGTTACCGATTGTGTTGTTAATTAAAAATCAAGTTTCGATCGGATTCGATTCGGTTCGCTTCGGATAGAATCTCGTCGTAGATTCGCTTGGTCGCAGAGAATCCTTGATTCCGCACATCTCTAGACACGAGCGATCCCGCCGGTTCAAGGACGCAAATAAGAGCGCGATTTGGGGTGGCTCGCGTTCCAGGTGTGGGGTCCGCGTCGAAGCTGCGCGACTTCGACGACTGGCAAGACCCGCGGCTGTCGACCACCGACGACGACCTGGTCTCGCCGTACTCGGACTCGTCCACGAACGAACTCGACCAGATCCGGCCGCAGGAGCTGACGAAGAACGGCACATACGTCATACGTCGCGGCCGCAAGAAGGAGCGCAAGGTCTTGCCGAAGACCCCGACCAAGACCAAGAGCCTGTCATTCGAGAACGGCGAGGAGAGCCGATTGTCGGACGTGAAGCGATACTCGAGCACCTTCGACAACATCAAGAGCCTGCTGAAGGAGGGCAAACTCGAGGGCCTGGACGAGCCACCGGCGGAGTTCACGGTGCCGGTGCCGCCGCCGGATCTCATCAGGGTCGTGTCGATGCCGGCGATCAACAACGAGACCGGCAACCGGGCTCAGCTGGAGATCACCGTGGAAGAGGAGGAGTCGTCCGACGTGTCGGACAAGGACAAGGAGCGTGACCACACGGAGCTACCTCGGCTGCCGCCGTCGCCGATCGAGGACGACGACCGGCCGGAGTTTCGTGCGACGGGGCGGCTGAGGGACTGCAACGGTATGCCGGCACCTTTCCCCATGGACTTGGACACGGGCAAGTCGTCAGCGAGCGTGCTCGCGGAGTCGCAGACGTCGAAGAAGGGCGCGAACGCGGCGAGCAGCGAGCGGCTGGTCTCCAAGATCCCGGTGAACCTGCTGATCGAGGACCAGATCGTGAAGAAGGCGCTTAAGGAGAACCGCCGGCAGCTGGAGAAGGTGAGCGACGCGATCAAGGAGATCGAGAGCGTGAAGAACAGCGAGTCGTACTGCGACAGCAAGCGCTGGCGGAACGGCGACGTGAAGCAGAGCTCGAAGCGCAACAGCTTCGAGAACAACGAGCCGTTGGCCGAGCGGAAGCCCGCGCTGGACGGCAGTCCGTTCGACAGCAGGAGTCGGAGGCAGCAGCACAGCTCCGACTCCGAGACGTCCAAGACCAGCTCGGACGCGGACTTTGACCGGAGGAAAGCGAACGGCAACGACATCGTCTATTCGTCCAGCAGGCGACTGCGCCAGAACGGCATCGAGAACCACAAGAACGATCAGAAGCAAATCGAGAACGTCATCGACGCCATCCTGGAGGACTCGAAGAACCCGGAATTCCAGGTGCGTGCGTCTCTCTCTCTCTCTCTCTTTCTCTCTCTCTCTCTCTCTCTTAGTAGCGTCGGTAATGATGATGGGACAAGGACGACCCCGGCGAGTATAATCGCGCAAGGATCATTCCGCGCGCGAGTCGTCCTTCAGACGGCGACGCGCGAAAGGGTGGAAAGTGAGTGGAAATAAAGACTCCGCCTTTACGGCGGAGAAGAACAACGAGGTGCATCTGCATCGTGAAAAATGCACGGGAAGAAATATACGAGAGCATTGCGGGGGCGTGCGCGATGGTGAAAAGGCGGCTAGAAGCAGCTGAGACCTCGCCGGGAAAGGGGATGGCGAGAAAGAGGGGGCGGGGGGGAGGCGCCGACCGATATATAAATTGGTAGCGTTACCCCGTGATATAGGATTCCATTAGCGATGCCGCGCAAAGGCCGCATTCTCGCCGTGAAACGCCGTGGAAAGTAACCGCCGGGACCGCGACCTGCGCGCGGATCCGTCCTTACTAATTCTCTCGCGTAACTTCCGCGAGAGATGTTTAATTTTCTTTCCTCTCGCTCGGCCCCGGTCTTTCTTCCGTCTTTCGCCGAGGGACGCGCTCGTTTCCGGCAAGCGAACGACGCCTGCCACTTGAATTCTTCGAGACTCCGAGGGAGTCCGTCTGCCTCGGGAAACGCTCGAAAAATAAACTCTCCCGTTGCCGACGTCGGCGAGTCCGCGAGGGAGAAACGCTTTCGCCCGACCTTCGCTCGGCCGACTCGCGCGCGGCCGACTAATTTACACGCCGCCGTGACGTTTCCTCACGAAGCGCCGCACATCGTCGTTAAGCACTGCGCGGACGGACGACTCGCGAGTGGGGGCGATTCGCTGAATATTAATTCCGCCTTGCGAGATCGAACGCCGGCCGGAGACAGCCTTTGATCGACCGCGGATAGTCGATTGGTCACGTGTTGTTGTGTCGCTCGCTGCCGACCGGCCGACGTATGACGAAAGAGGTATAGCTCGACGGGAAATGCGCTCGTCGCGAGTCGCCGAGCTATAAACTACCTCGTTGATCCGACGCTACGGTGAAAATATCCGACGCGAACTCGCTGAATGGTCATCGAGGAGTGAATAGCCATTCATGCCGATAATACGCGTATCGTCACGAGGGCCCTTCGCCGATTAACGAGTATCCACTGTAGTCGGCCGGCGGCGCGCCGGGTCTCTCGGGTCAGACACGGGGCTTTCCATCGGAAATTTGCGTCCGCAAGCTCTTTAAAAGCTCGCCGAGGCCGATCTGCAAATGTCTCGGCCACACGCGTGACCGAGCGCACGTCGGCTGTGCGCGCGTATAACTCTGTCCGGCCGCTGATGTTCCTCCAGTATCGAGCATCGCGCGGTATCTAGCCGCTCGGCTGGCTGGCCGTTGTTGTCTCTTGACGTTTCAGCGGCTTGCCGCTGATCGAGATAACTGATTCTTCTTCATTCGACGCATGCACGTCCGCGAGATTAAACGCTCGACCGCGGGGCGAGTCGCGGGGAATCTTAAACGACGCCTCGACGCCTCGCGTGTACTCTGTGTAAACTTCTCGCAGCGAGACGTTCCCCGGGAAATACAGTGGCTCTAATTCGACCAAGTTTCAGAACGGAGTGAACTTTCCACTCCGCGCCTCCGCCTCGGTCCGAATAGCCGAGGCGGGAGTAATACTTGAAAATAATAATAACGGATGATAAATAGGAGCGCGTTGTTAGGATTTTCTAGTCGTATATATTTTCGATTTATATCTTACTTATTTGCACATCATTCGAAGCGACTGCAATAATTTGTTTCAATATTCGGAAGCAAATATTTTCAGTCAGAAACTATCAGCAGCCTAACTGAAGTGAAGTTTAAAGCGTCAAACTTATTCTCTGTACGCTCCACCGTCGCGATAAAAAATGCATTCTTGCATTCCGCTGAAATATTTATTTATGTATATCGAGAGTCCAATGTAATTTCCATTGTAACGTGTTGAACATCCACTCCTGTGATTCCGTGCGACGGCACTTTTACCGTCGCTTCGAGGACACGTTCACTTTCTCAGAGAATAAGTTGGACCTTCCGCGCGCGCGCGCGCGCGCGCAAGATGATCCACAGGAACTCAAGACGTTTCCGTTTAGCGTGCTCAGCGTTGAAGCCGCTGGGATGATCACTTGTTCGCGAGACAGTCTGACCTCATCGTGTCCCTCTGCGTTATCACAGGTGAGCGTCGAGGTGATGGAGTTCCCGCCGTTGCCGCCGTCGCCCGTCGAAGAGGCCGACGAGGAGAGCTCGGACATCGGCCAGAGCTCGATAATGCCGCCGAAGTCGAAGAGCCACGGCAGCAGCAGCAGCAACAGGACCATCGAGTATAGGCCGAGAGTGCCGCCGCATCGCACCCCGGTCGGCGACTCGAAGGAGCAGGCTTCCTTGAACACCAGATCCATGGACGCCGGCTTCGCCAGGGGGAGACGCGCGCCGGCCGCCAATAATTCCAGGCGAGAGGTGAGCTCCCCAGTCGATATCTTCTTCGCTCTATTGTGCATTAGGGAGAAGGAGACCGCGATAAAGAGACGCGCGCGCGCGCGCGCGCGCCGGCTTTCTTCACTCCGGCTTAGCTTCCCCTCGCGCCGGGGCTAAATTTCAATCCTCGTCGACTTGCTTGCACCACCGCGCCCGTCCTGCAAAACCGCCCTTTCTTTCTCGTTCCTTCTGAATAGCGAATTGCCGCGCATATCGATACGTCGGTATCGCGTGAACGGTGAAGAGATTATGGAAATGGGGGAAATTTGTTACGTCGCACGCCCCCGTTACACCAGTATACACTCGTTATAATCCCATTACTCGTGCATAATAATTATTCAACATTCGCTTATTGAGGGAGAAATTATGAATAAACGTTACACGCGCGGGATAGAACAGCGAGATAATTCGAATATTGAATAATTCTTGAATAAACAGCGCTCTCAGCGTGTCTCAGCGTGGACACAAAGCAGCGATGAGCAACCGTTTGTGGCATCAAGGCGAAACAATAGCTCGTTTGTATCTCGAGGCTCCCCGATGACTCCCCCCACCCCTCCCCGCGCGTTCGGCGGTATTTGCAGAATGAGTGCAGATCCGAAATTTTGACTCGGGTCCCTATGAAATATGAAACCGGCGGCGCGGCGGCGCTGCGGCGCTCTGTCCGCTTTCTCTTTCTCCTCCCTCGCCCCCCCCCTCCCCCTTGCTACCCAACGGAGATAACAAGCGCGGTTTTCGCCCGCTGACTCGCGCGCGCCAGCGCGACAGCGACAGCTAGTTCTGCAGTTAACAATCGCAATTCTCCGCTAGTAATAACTTCACGGTTTTTATTCATAAGCAGGAACATTAAAGAAACGCGTACGTGTACGTTTAAGGTCGCATTTTCCCGCGGGGGAAAATTCTAGACAAAAGCGCCTGCGTTCTCCGCGTTGTAAAACTCGCGGGAAGTCGCGTCGTGGAAGTCGCGCTAATTAATAAAACATTCCTAATTGGTAAAACATAGATCCTAAGCGCCGGCTCGCCAGGCGGGGAAGCCCTCCTCGCGGCCGAACGGAATAATGTCCGTGAGATGAATGAATCCCGGACTATTCTAATCGGCGCGGCTCTCTCGTCGACTTCTTTCATCCCTCGTGATTCTTAATTACCCGATCATCGCCGCGGAATTTCCGGCAATACGCAACATCTCGTCGTAGCGACGCGACGCGAATGCGAGGCGGCCGAGGGGCGGCGATAAATAAGAAAATCGCTAATAAGCGCCGTCGAGAGCACAGTTTTCGCGGGGTCGCAGGGGAGAGGAAGAAGAAAAGACCATCGAGCTGGAGTATGCGAGCGAGAGTAGTAGCTCGCCGGCGCTTGGGAATAGTTTCCGTCGCGTTGCGAAGGAGGAGAGAGAGAGAGAGAGAGAGAGAGAGAGAGAGAGAGAGAGAGAGAGAGAGCGAGAGAGCGTGAGTGACATAGAGAGAGAGGGGGGGGAGGCAAAAGTACGACGGAGAAGCGTACAACAACGAGCAGGGGGAGGAGGAGAGAGAGAGAGAGAAAGAGAGAAACCGTGATCGCGGCGGCGGCGGCGGCGGCGGCGGCGGGCCAACGCCTTCCGCAATAAACAAGCTGGCGACGAGCCAATTTCTCGTATTGCCGTAATAAAATAGCACGACGCACTCGCGATTGTGTACTGCCGGAGGAATTTCCATGTTAAGTTCCCCCGGCATAAAGCGCGCGCGCGCACGCTCTCTCATCGATCGCGTCGATCAAGACACCCCCGGCGGGAAAGTCGCGCGTGCAGATTCTCGAGAATCCCGCGAGTGTGTATTGGAGTCGGGAGGGGGAGGAGGGAGGAGAGGAAGGGTGGCACGAGGCCGTATGTACACGACGATGTATGACGTATGCGGTGCGCTGCGTGCGTCGCTACGGAGGGAAAATACGAAAGCAGCTCCAGCAGCCGCGAATATCCTCTCGGGACACCCCATCCCTCCGGGCGGAGGGAGGGTGGCGGCAGGGGTGCGTGCGTGTACGAGTGACACGGTATCTCGCGGCGCGAGATATTGATTTCGACGGTGCTCCAGACCGAACTGGAATAATTTAGAGCGCTTTGTTGTTACTCGACGAGTCTCGCTGCGAGTGCGCCACACGCCGCGCACCGGCGATGATTAATTTTAATTACCGCGGTATAATCGTGCGGTATAACGTATATATTATTATAGCACGCCGTGCGCGGTACATACGTAATTGAACGTAGCTCGTTATGCTCGCGATACAAGAATATCATCGGTCTCTACTTCACGTTGCATAATTATATACGCTTTACTCTCTCGCGTGTACCCTCTCTCTCTCTCTCTCTCTTTCTCTCCCTTTCTCTCTCTCTCTCTCTCTCTCTCTCTCTCTCTCAGTATCCCGAAGATTCCTCTGAGGAATCTTCGCCGATACTCGTTCGAAAGGATCGCGATATTACTGTCAAAATTGTAGCGCCAACACTTCTGCGAGTGGTATCGCGAAAACCTTGGCATTCCTGAGGAGATTTATTTATCCTTTCTTATCTGAAGATTCATAATAGCAAGATGCGTAATTAAACATCGCTCTTTACATTCATGATACGAGTACACTACTTCGTGCTGCGTAATTCTAAACCTTGTTCGTTGTGATATTGATATTCCCAAGGTTTATCTCGGTAACTGTGATATTCACCGACATTCTCTTCGTCAAATGTGTTATCATCAAGCTATTAACGTCAGATTGTATAATAGCGCCGCTCTTCCGAGCGAGGTCGCGAGAACTTCACCCCTTGTGTGAGAATTTATTCGTCCCCTCGTATCCGAAAATTCGCGATTTAACGACATTCGTTGCGTTACTTCGCGTTGTGTAATTATAAACTTTCCTCGCGTTATCGGTATTCGCCGAGCTTTCTCCTGCTAACCGTGATATTCGTCGATATTTTATCCGTCGATTCGTGGCATCAATAGCAAGCTCTCGGGATTGTAGTGCCACTTCTCTCCGAGTGATATCGCAGACCGGAACTTCAGCGTCCTGAGAGAGTCCATTTATCCTCTCGTAACTTAAGATTCGCGAGAGAGCGAATAAGATAAACTTAATCTCCCTGAGATCAATCTCGATAAACGGAGAGAGGAGCCCAAGTTGTTCTCTCGAGCTACTAACATCTTCCGTAGAGGAGGATTCGATAGAACGATGGCCGCCGGGGCGACTGAGTGGAGGGGAAGGAAGTTCTCTGCGGGGATGACGTTGTTCGAATAAAAGAATCGAATCGAATACCTGGCGCATATTCTTCAGATATCCTTGAGTCGAGCGTTGAAATGGCGAGACCTCGCTGCCGTGTCCTTTGAAACGAACGGTGGTAGTCCGCAGGTAGCAGTCCGGCACAATGCCGAAGCGATCACTTTGAAGTTGAAGCGCGGACGACACACGCGTCTTCTTCCTGCTCGAGCGGAAACGGACGCGCGGATATTTCGCGCCGAATCGGGTGAAAGGCGAGACACGAAGAGAACGAACGCCGCGATTCTCCTCGATTCTGCGGCTGGACGTGGGCGAGGACACACACGTGTGGAAAGTAAGTGCGCTCTTCCGCGGCCCCCGCGCTAATTTTCCCTCATTCGGCTCTCTCATTCGCCGGCATTATCGCCCGCCAGGCAGCCGAGGTCGGCGATTTTTACGGCAATTTTCCGCGACGGAAGCACCGCCGTAGAGCCGTCGGTTGTCAACGGCGGCGGCGGCGCGCCGCCCGGCGAGGAAAACCGCTGTCGTCCTTTATTTTCTTCATTCTTCGGACCACGTTCGGTGGTTCATTTCATTTATGTGGCGCGTCCGGTGTATCGATGGATGAAAGATTAAAGTTTCCGAGAAACTTCGTGCGAGTTGAGCGTTTGTCGAAGGGACGGTCGTTCCTTCGGAAGGACGACGGGAAATTTGCCGCTTGCAGGTTCCCACAAGAGGTTCCCCTCTCGGCAAAAAACTGCAGCTTACAAGTGCAATCGAGAGAAGTCGGAGTATTGAAGCAGCGCTAAAATGGAATATTTAAAATATGAAAACAATTGATATATTTTATAGTTTCGAGATCAAAAGTTCAGCCGTTGTTTGACACAACATCCTGACGCTTCGGGGACGCTTCCCGTTCTCCACCACGGCATCCCCTGAACGATTCAACGAGAGGAACCTCGAGAAGGCCGAGCGGAGTCGGAGGCGCGCGCGACCTGCAGCGGCCGTCGTTTGTTGCGCTTGATCGCAATCGAATTGCAAATCAACGACACAGGTCGACAAGCCTTAATCGGGATATCAGCTTGCCGCGCGAGACAATGGACGCGACCCCCGTTGTTCGACGGGGCCCCCCTCCGCCCGGCCGGGCGATCGCGCAACCTCGCTTGCGGTGAGGCCAGAGAACCCACGCGCGAGGGCTGCGCGTTTCGGTGAAAAAGCGACAACGGGGGAATGAAAACGGAGAACCGTTCTTTCCGCCGTCGCGCGCGCGCGCGCGTGCGCGCGCGTGTGTCGCGTGTCGCTCCCGCGAGCGCGAGCGCGCGCGTATTGTCTCGTCCGGCGCGCACCGGCTGGGGAGGCTGCGAGCGAATAAAAGGGGGTTCTCCCTTTCCCCAGTGGGAGGGGGTGAGCCGAGAAAGGGACGCTGCCGCGGTGAATGGAGAGGACCCGGACGCGCGCGTATCCCTACGATAAATAAAATGTCCACGTCTCTATGCACATTGTGCATAATGAAAAGTAACGGCGTGCGCGCGAGGGCGCGTTTCTCCCGCCCGCTCTTTCTCTCTCTCTCTCTCTCTCTCTCTCACTTTTTCTCTTTTCTCTCTCCCCTTCTCTCACCGCACTCTGGCGCGCGCGAACGAGCCGACTCTCTCTCTCTCTCTCTCTCGTTCTCCGGCGGATGCGTGTGCGAACGCGTGCAGTGACGAACACCTTTGTCATTGTCATCGCCGTCGTTGTCGTCGTCGTCGTCGTCGTCGTCGTCGTCGCAGTCGTTGTCGCGA